TGGGGTTTAGGGTTTGGGCTAGAGTTTCGGGTTTAGGGTTATAGGGTTATAGGGTTTAGGGCTATAGGGTTTAGGGCTGTAGGGTTGTGGGGCTTAGGGTTTATAGGGTTTAGGGTCAAAGGCGAAGCTCCCTGGCATCCTGAGACCCGACGTCTCTCCCAGCGAACGCGGAGCATGGGTTTTAGGGTTTAGGGTTTAGGGGTTTAGGGTTTAGGGTTTATGGCCCATCATACGGGAAAATACCCTAACTCCCGTAGTTAGGGTCCTTAAGGTAGTGCAGGATTTATATCATCAACAGTAGTTCCCCCCAAGTTGGGGTCCCTGTTGAGATGCGCAAATGGTACGGCACCCTTCTGGAAAGGAGCCTACGAAAAGGGACCCGAACTTAAATACTTAGAGAACTACCCTCAGAGCCTCCACCCCAAACCCCAAATCCTGTAGATCGCAAAGACAGGATCCCTTTGAAAGGGCCCCCCCCTTTAGAGGGATCCTAACTTGGAGAAGCAGCCCACGTGCCAGCCAAAAGCCTGCTCGAATTCTGAAAGCCCGAGTTAAGTTCTAACTGACATAGTTACCCTTTAAGGAACCCTCTTCGAAATATTCAAGGCCTCTACCTAGACCCTCCAGACCCTAAGTACCCCTTATTTGGGACCATATACCCCTATTTGAGGGTACAAGGAGGGTCCTGGAACCCTAAACCCTAAACCCCAAACCCTAAACCCAAACCCTAAACCCTGAACCCCAACCCGAAACCCTATTTGAGGGTACAAGGAGGGTCCTGGTATTCTATCTTGCTGTCCCTCAACCCCCAAGAGCCTAGAGCTCTAACTTATAGCTACCCTGAAAGGAACCCTATTCTACATACTCAAGGCCTCTATTCTATCCAGCTATCCTCTCATCCCCCAAGGGCCTAGAGCGTAGTCACCGGGCCCGGAGTTGAAGGGCTTGGCCTCACAGGAAGAAGGCTGTACTTAGGGTTTAGTTTAGGGGTTTGGGGGTTTGGGGGTTTGGGGGTTTGGGGGTTTTGGGGGTTTAGGGTTTAAGGTTTAGGGTTTAGGGCTCTCCTGACTTGAGATTTCCACCTCTGAAGTATGGGGCTCTTCTTTAAAAAGGTAATTTTAAGTACCTCTAAAGTATAGGGTTGTTGTTATTGAACGTAGTTTTAAGTACCTCTGAAGTATAGGGTTATTGTTAAGGAACTTAATTTTAAGTTACCACAATAAGGATCTATGGCAAATACTACGGTTTCTTTTTGTTATGGCAACTTGAAGTAAGCCCCTTAACAAGAACCCAGTAAAGTACGGCAAATGTGTCCATGCTCACTAAAGCTTGAGCTTGCAGCAAATGGCAAGCTCCAGCAAAAGCTTGGAGGCTTCAGGCTGTGTGCTTTCAATGCACTTCGGGGACTTAGGGGACTTCGACATGAAGGTTGAGAAGGGCAGTCCTCCGGTGTCGGTTCTCCTCACACTGAAGCTTTCAGCCTACCTGCACAAAAAGTGATAAGTCTCAGTAGAGAGTTCTTGCCGAGTCACGGCTGGCGGCGCCACCATATTGCTCCAGTCTCCCCTGAAGGGCGTGTGTCTTTGCGGTCTGATCTTGCGACCTGAACACCTTTGAGTCTTATGCCCACATCGCATCAGACTTATGCTGCGAACTACTGTAACCGTAGCGGCAAGTGCATGAGGTTCAGGCTTGAAGATCTTTGAAGTCACCAGAAGGTTCAGGGTTCACCTTTCAAACTCGGAACTCTTGGTGGCCGCCAAGTTGGAGACAGTAGGCTCCCCCAAACTTTTGCCCCACCCCTCCTCCCCTCCCCACCCTCTCCTCAAATTCTGCTCCGCTCCCGTAAAGGGGATTATCATATATATATATATACATATACAAAAAAATATATATATATTCCCTTTTGCAGTAGACCAAACCCAAAAACCCTGAGCCCAAACAAGGGGAATTGACTTACTTAGCCCCCAACTTATCCCGTCCCCACGCCTGGGCGCTGGTGCGGCCCTTGCGGCTTGAGGGGCCGGCTGCCAAGGCGAGATGCCCTCAGAGCTCGGAGGGCAGTTTTTTCCTTGTTTTGTGGGCCTTTTTCAGGCCCAGGGGTTCAGGTTTTAGGGCTTTTAGGGTTTAGGGTTTTTGGGGGGTTTGGGGTTTAGCCCTCAGAGCTCAGCATGGGGCCCATAGGGCAGGTAGCATAGGACTGGTAGTACAGCTATGTCTAGCTGCAGCTTAGTATATACAGAGGGGAGTTTCATAATCGATGCATGCATGCATGCATGCATGCATGCATATATATATATATATCAAGTTAAGTCAATAGGATGTGTATGTATGTAAAATGCGGATTCGCCAAGCCTAGCACACTGAAACTAGCGCGAATGCCAAAAGTCATGTGACAGCCTTGCAAATCAGTCAAGACCAGAACGAATGCCAAAACGACTTCGGGCTTAGGGCTGCTGGTTCAGGGTTTAGAAGTTTAGGACAATTAAGCCTCACAGCTTAGCCTTCGCCATTTTTGGAAGCCTCCAAATGTCTAGACTCTCTCCAGCTACCCTCGATTAGACCCTAAGTCCCCCTTATTTGGGACCAAAGATACCCCTTTCGAAGGGTACAAGGAGGGTCCTGGAACCCAAACCCCTAAACCCCTAAACCCTAAACCCAAACCCTAAACCCTAAACCCCTAAACCCTAAACCCCTAAACCCTAAACCCAAACCCTAAACCCTATTTGAGGGTGCAAAAAAAGGGTCCCTTTTGGAGCTGCAGTCCGAGGGATGGCGCGCCTGCGCCTGCGGGTGAAGGCCCTGCGGGTGAAAGTTGCCGTAGTTGGCGCTCTCCGCAGGCGTCTCCTGGCCAGAGATAGGAGTTAGGATGAGGGGGACCCTTGGGGATATAGACCCTCTCAATAAGGTCCCTTTTTTTAAGAGAGCCAAAAGTAGGGTTCAGAAGGGTCCCCCTTATTTAAGGGGTCTCCTTAATACTACCTAGGAAGAGAGCCCGGTCTGAACACAACATGACAAAACCCCCCAAAAGGTCCGGGAAACAAAAGACCAAAGCTAAGATGCCGGTGCGACCATGTGAGTGCCGAGAGATGTGTCCCCCTGTATGAGACGGAAGACCTGCGCGAGCTGCTGGACAGGTACGGGGGCCGTGGGACGAGGCAGGTCTTCACTCCACAAGCTCTGGAAAAGTCACTGTTCCGGAGCTGTTCCCTGCACCTGCGTCGCTGCGGCGTTCACGGCCATCAGGGCGCCCTGGAGCGTCGCGATCCCTGGGCAAGGCTTTGTGGGTGCGCGGTGGCTGCAATCATCAAGCCATAACACACTCGCAGGGAAGTGCGAAAGAGATGGTCCGACTAGGTTGTATAGGCTTTCGTAGCATGGCATGCTAGCGACGAGCGAAAACGATTGAATGTCTATCTTGTGCTGCAGGATCCAGGTCTAGGCACCTGCTCGCCCCTCAAGCTCAGGCGGAGGCTTTCATTCGGCACGACGTTCTTGCCCTGTGGCGTGACCTTGACCGTGACACCTCCGATGCGGCTGCTGTCGACATGCCCTCGCGACGTGAGCACTGGTGCCAAGGCATATGCCCCCAAGGCATGCCCCCACAGGCCGAAGCCCAGAAACAGGCCTGTTCTTTCAGCAATGGCCTTCTGCATGGCTCCTTGGTCACATCGCTGCTCTCAAGGAAGCCCCCCTGCCCAGCTCTAGATCAGGCGGAGGCACCACTCTTTCCGATGATGAGTCCGCAAGAAGTGAAAGGCATTGCTACCTTAGAGCAGGCCAGCAGAGGAACGTGATGCTGCTATTGCACTGCCGCCAGCTGCAGGTAGAAGGTGATTCTGCAGCGAAAGGGCGCAGCAAACAGCCGCTGGCTCTTGTGGGAAAATGACGGGGGCACAATATGATATCATATAATAGTATATATTATAATATTATATTATATTATACTATATTATATTATATCATATTATATTATATACTATAATATAATGGGAAAGATAGAGACCTCAAGGGTCGGGTCCTGATCCCCAGCCGTCTCTCTCATGGCGCACAATGCGGCCAAGTCGCTTGGACCAGCACCCTGGCAAGCGCAGTAATTCGGTTTAGGGTCTTTTGGGTTTTGGGGCTTTGGATTTAGGGTTTTGGGTTTAGGGTTACACTCAATCTCTTTCCGTTGCATTTCATTGCAAATCCTACCAGCCGAACAGCAGAGCCAGGTAAGAACGAAGTAGGTTCCAAGCTCGAAGATAAGCAGGAAGTCGTGAGCGTGGGTCGAAGCATCGAGATCCCACCGATTCCCGCCCTACCACACTGCCGGATCTTATTTTTTTCAGGATTCAAGCCTTTATTTAAACTCGCGAACCCCGGGTCTTCCATACTTTCTGTCCCCTTCACGCCTACGACCTACGAGAATCTGAAACCTCAACCAGACAAGCACCGCCAAGGAACCAAGCGACACCAGGGAAGCACAGACACACATACATCTGCAGGAAAGAAAGCGCCAAATCAGACAGGGCCCCGATGCCTGTCTTCAACCTCGCGGCCCTCCTTTTGTGCCTCGGTGCTTAGGCTCGGGAAAGGCTCGGAATCGTCTCGTGGCAAGGCAGGCGTCGGTGGGAATTTCGGCCTTCTCGGGTTTAGGGTTTGGGGGATGCGGGTTTACGGGTTTAGGGGTTTCTTGGGGCTTAGGCTTTAGGGGTTTAGGGTGTAGGTTAGGGTTTAGGTTTAGAGTTCAGGTGAGTCCACCCAAGGGCGACATTCTTGAGATTTGGCCTGCAATGCTTTCAGGTAAGCTGTTGGAGGTGGCATCGACCACTCCAAAAGACACAATGCCTGGTCATCTCTGACTTTCAGATGAGGAGGTGTAGTACGTGTATACATACACACACACACATATGTATGCATGTAGGTATGTATGTATGAATGAATGAATGTATGTAGGTATGTATGTATGTATGTATGTAGTATGTATGTTGTATGTATGTATGTATGTATGTATGTATGTATGTATGTATGTATGTATGTAATGCAATGTA